TATGTATTTGCTGTCAACACAGTGCAGACCCAGCATATGCTATTAAGAAATCATCCTTGCAGTTGCATTTCATCCCTATAATGCAGCAATTATACTTAGAAGCAAGGTATGTGTAAGTAGCATACACACTGCTTTTGTCCCTCTGTTTGGCCAGACATTTCCTACGGCGAGGAATAAGCTCCCATGTTCTCAAGGCAGGAAAGCATGGGGCTCTGGTCATGCAAACCTATGGAGAACCCCAAGTCTTAGACATGTGCCCTGAAAAATTGAATAAAAGCAGTGGAAGGGTCTGAATACAATAGTAGGAAAGGACATGATCCTGAAACTGCAATTTCTGAAATTAGTGGGCTTTGACAATGCCAGTTTCCACCCTCTATGAAATAGTTTATTTGCAATAGACAGTCCACACAATGCCATAACAAAGTGATTTTATTGACATTCCTCCATAGTGATATGGTTGAATAGAAAGCACAGCCTGAGTATCATGTGACATTTTTCTGTCAATAAAAGCAAAATCAGTCCAATAATGAGGACCTTTCCTGCCACTGACTTTATGTAGTCTTTAACAAAAACCATAACAGACATTTCTGTTAGATAAATTGGAAGCTGCAGGGAATTTGGCTAATGGTACAATATTTACTATACCTAGTATCTACTATCTACAGGAATCTGTTTTTCTACTGGAACAAAAGAACTACATGACTCACTAGTGAGAAAGTAACAATCCAGTCTTTTGGACCTTGTGATAACTGGAAAACCTATCCCAGATTTATTATATTGCAGTAGTTTTATCTTTTCAAAATGAACACTGAGGTACAGCAAGAATAATAAAAAAGCACCGCATTTGTTGTAGAAAGATCTGTTGGTCAGCATTTGACTGAAAGCGTTTAATCTTGACTGGGAATCCCTATTAATATTACTATGGAGACAGGGCAAATAAAATTTCAACAGAAATTAAACAGATCTCCAGTCAGATTTGTTCTTCTGAAATTCCATGGACTGTCAAAGGATTAATAGTGAAGGACTAGTTTAACCTGTCCCCTGTGCATTTATATTTTAGCTTATTTCAGTTTTGATTTGCATGTTCAAATTCAGTGTCCTATTGTTTCCAACTAGAGGTATGTCAACTATTTGTTACAGTGAAACTAGAACAACAAAACACAATCCCAACAAACACTCCCCTCCCCACAGGCCACCTCTCAGACTAGACCACGAGCTCAAACCTCAGCTACAGTTCATTCAAAAGTTCATGGGCACTTGAGCAAACTGGGTGTAAAAAGTCCCCTGTGTCAGACCTGTACAAAACTCATGATTTCTCCATTAGACATTAGATGTAGTTTGGACCACTCCTTGCCTTGTGATAGCCATGGACCTCTCTGGAACATAAAAGTCAAGTTTTGAATATGCACAGACTGAAACTGAACACTTATGTAACTTATTGCAGACTGAAGTGACAGCATTTGTAAGGTTTAGACCTGATGCTGTTAACACTAAGATACAGATGTTTATACTGGATCAAATCCTGCATTACTGATGTGGTTGAACAGTCAGTGAGACTACTTCAAGGTGGAAGACCTACTGATGATTTAAAACACCTACTTCCATTTTCTTATCTTCAGATTAATGCTAACAGGATTTCAAAACCAGAAGAACCCCTTTCCCTCCCTTTACCATTAATACCATAATGAAAATCATTTTGAGAAACGTATGGACCCTCTGAAACTGTTGCCAGTATTCATTGCTCCAATGAAAACCAGAATTCATGAAAGCTTTCATATTGCCTCTTCCATTTTCACTTGCATTTTAAAAATCTGTTGATGTTGATATTGTATCTTAATCTAGCCACCACCATATCTAGCCATCGCCAGGTTTAAAGGGAACTGAGGTGGAAGAGCTGAAAAGATTATTTCACTATAAATCTGCCCTATGGATTATCTTCTAGTCTTTCCTGTGGGAAACAATGAAACCAGAATTTCTGTAATCAGCAGTCAGTGTTTTAGAAATGAAGATGCAGACCCAGGGAGTAACAGCACTTGAACCAACAGATGAACAAGGAAGGGTATGTCTTGCATATGCACAACAACAACAAAGCAGCCAATTAATTGCATAATGGGCAGGTTAAATAACAGGCTGAGGGAGGTAGGTTCCTCCCTCTCTCCTGTGAGCACCATTCACTGCCTCACTCTGACACTTCAGATGCACGGCTTCCCCCTCACTCCAGGATGAGACTGGATTCTGCCCATGGCGTGACACAGGGAATGGAGAAACACTGTGAAGCGTTGATCCGGATATCAGAAAGATGATGTAGGAGTTTGAAAACCTATTGGGGTAGGGCATTTGGGAAGAGAGAGGGATTGGGCTGGAAGGGCAGAATGCAAGAAAAGCCACACATTGCATTTTCTTTCTCTTTGCTTTATGAAAACAGTCAACTGTCTCTATTCCTGGCCTTAGATCCAAAAAACTTTCAAGGAAATCTGCATGACTTTGTCAACTTAGAAAGCAACTTTTAAAAAATATTAGGCTATGTGCTTGAAAGGCAACTTGGATCAAGGACTTTGATGGGAAGTAGCTGGCTATGCTCTGTGTTTCCCAGAAGGTGCTTGAGATGGCATCTGCCAAACAGAATCTAGTTTAGTATGAGATGAATGCTAGAAAATGTTGTAAAGAAGAATTTCAGGAGAAAGCCTTCTGTATTTCATTTAGTGGAGCTTGATGCTGTCTCTGAAATACAAACATCTTTTATTATGCTACAAAAAATAGTTTCACTTTTTGTAATAAAATATAGTTTTAAAATACTTTAAAAAAATTAACTATACAGCATTGTAAAGATTGGATTTTTTTTTCCCCACTTTTTTATTATGTTTATGAGACAGCTCTTGATTTTCCTTGGTCAAACATGGACCAACCAGTTGGATGTTTCTTTCTTCTAATGTTGGAAGACATCCAACATTTGACATAGCACAGGTAACTTTATAACATCACCAGGAATAAATGAGGAACCATACAAGAATCACTGGATTTGTGGGCCCAGAGGTGAAGAGGCAGGAATTACATACATTGGAAGTTTTCATGTTCAGTGTCTCCTGGTGTGACTTGTCCTGATGAAATTCATGTGTACATGACAGATGCTCTGAGAAAAACATTAATTTTTCCATCTCTCCTGTGCAGTGGGCTGGTCACATGGAATCAATGCCTGAGAGCTCATTTATGGAAACACTAAACATCATTTTCAGTGTGTGGTACAATGAAGCTGTCCTGTAACTGCAGCCTCTTTTTGCAACTGTAATATTAAATAACAAGATACTAAAACATAGATTCTCAGTAAAAGCCACACAGTAAATTAGCATAAAAGTGTCTGAAATGCCACAGAAATCAAATGAAGGGGTAATTTAAGTATTTCAGATTTTTTATGTATCATTAACAAAAAAAAAAAAATTTCCTTAGAAGTATATTTTTGGGTCCATCACCTTTCAAATACCTACTGACCTAAGAATAAAAGCAGGAGAAAGATCTAAAACTCTCAGAATGCAATTTTTCAAGTGTGATGAGGTTCTGTACAACCACCATAAAAATATGTGAGAATGCAGAGTCCAATTTTTTCCTCTGGAGAGAAAACTTAAGACAAAATAGATGTGTTAGATCTTGAACTGGTCTCCTGATTTTACAGTGATCTAAAGCATAACTAATACAAAGCTACCAGTAACAAGCCCCCAAGGGAGTGTTGTACTTCATGCAAGCTGCTAAACACTATGATGTTACCTTCTCACGTACCTTCACAAATCTTGTCACTTTGTATTTCTTGCATCCTTTAACATATTTAGTGTCAGAAGATACTTTGTATCTTTGTACATTTCCCAGTTAAGACAAACACTTTCAATCTGAGATTAGTCTCTCAGATTTTGTTGGAAAACAAGGGCAGCAAAGATTAATAACTAGAATGTAATCAGAGCAGTTGTTTGACTGTAGCAGCCTCAGCAAAATCCATCCGAAAACAAGCCTACTGCTGTTTTCCTTTTTTCCCCCTGGATTCAGAGTTGGAAAGTACACCAAAGAGAAGAGGGTTATGTCTGCAGTAACAAGAGCAAGATCTTTAGTTTGGTGGTACTTAGTATGACTGGAGAGCCTTTGGGCTTCCTCCAAGAGGATGTACACCAAAATCTTAACCCCCAGAGAGTTACAGTTCCCTTCATACCTGAAAAACACCCTCATTCACTGCAGCTTCTCATTTGACAGACCCCAGACAAAAACATTCTGTCTACAACCAATCACTCTTGAGGATATGGATTATTCCACTGAACAAGAAAACAGAAACAACAGAACTGAAAACCGCCCCCAGCAACCATGGTTTAGCCCAACCTAACAGAAAATAAATGGTTTCTGACACAGGGGATGGGATTGTCTAGACTTGTCATTTAGAAAGGAACATTTTAAACATCAGGAAACAAAGATCTGGTAAACAGAACCCAAAAGTATTCATAAGAGTAGAACATTCTTCTTACTTCCCCTTTCCTTGTCATATACAATACTAAGGTAAGGGAGCCTTGTCCTTTATGCTACATAATAAAACATCCTTCTTGAGTGTGCACAACCTTGTGCTTCTTGTGTGGTAAACATTACAATGGAGATGCCCCTCCCGATAGCTCTGAAGTGCAAGTTCTCTCCAGTACTGGCAAGCAACAATCACAACAATCGCCGTTATTCTGTGCATCGCATTACAGGTTGGTGGGTTTTTTTTTACTTTTTGAAGGTCTTATCTGCACCATGTATCTGGGCCAGTTCCAGCTGATACAACTGATGTGGATCATGAGTTCATATAGAAAAATTTCAGTTTTGCTCATTGGTGTCTTTCACATGGACAATACATACAGGGAAAATAGGGATGATGATGTATTTGACCAGCTCCTAGTATTGGATTCAATGATTAAGAAGTAAGATGGGCTATGAATTGATTTAGAAGATATGGGTATATAAAAGCTTTGAATGCTTGATGAAGTTTTTTTTTTTTATTTTTTAATCAACGTAGGTGGAAGTAAACATTTATTAACATTTGGTCAAGTGTAGTGTAACTTGCATTTGTATTTTCATTGTTATTAATGGAGGTATGTAGAGATATACAGAAACCTTGAGACAGTTGTTTTTCTATTGCATACAGACTAGCAGTCCATTGGAAACAGAGGATGAAAGCATGAAGGTTAGATCGTAGAGGGTGGCAGTTCTTCATGCACGGCTTTTGTTAATCTTGATTTTTGTTTTGTTTTCAAAAATAAAAACATGGGAAACCAAGATCAAAGGATGGTGGACAGGAAAGGTGACATCATCAGCCATAAAAACACCAGAAGTGCCTGAACCCCCTCATTCAAGTCCAAAGGTGCTAGTTTCTTCAACAGCTGTCAGCAGCTTTTCATACAGCATAGAATATGAGGGGTAAGGTGGAAGATCCAAACGGTTGAAACATGTGTGTGCCCTGCAAAAAGAAAATATACTACATGTTAGGCTTAATCAAAAAAACTTGAGAAAATAAGAACTGAGAAAACTAGTACCTAATGAGACTCAAGACATTCAGGTTCATTCAAAATAAAACTTTTTAATTCCATCAAAATATGAGGTACTGAAATGTATGTGCACATGCACATGAATATGTTATATAGAAGACACAAGCTAAATATCAACATAAGATCTGATATTCCTCCTTCGGGTGTTGCAGGGATCTTGTACGGATCTTGATGGAGAAGAATGTTGGAGGTCACTGAGGAGCTGGGGTTTAGGGCCTGATAGAGAAGTTCATTGCTATAATTTTGGTTGCTTCAAGATTTTTTTTAAAAATGGCACTCATCTGTATATCCAACATGAGCTGTCAATAAGTTTTGCACTAGTGCACAAGCACAATGTGATGGAATATAGTGACAGAATGGGCTGAGCATGTGTTTGCAGTGAGGCAGGCCTGACTGCTAAAAGACCATTCAGGGATCTGCTAACTGAGGAAGGAAGGCTGCTGAAAATATTCAGCAAGTCAGCTGTTGGCCATCTGCTGCAAGTCTGGCCTTTAAATGTTATTTATTTGTAGTACCCAAGACAAAAGCAAAATATTCTCTGCAGAGCAAGCTGCAAACTTGATGACCATCTCTTTCCCCAGTTTTACCATTACATTTACCTGATCTTATATTTACATTGGCAGCATCTTCAAAAATGCCATGGATTGGGTTCCATTCGTGCCGCCACCCTGTTGTAGCTTTTCTGGCAGCAGCAATTAGATCCAGAGGCAGGCAGCACTTCACTGTGGGAGGTGCTATACAAATGTGCAGTGAAGAAACAGTCCCTGCCCCAACAGTTCAGCCATTTCAACTGACTGAGAAACTGTACAGCTCATTCAACAAATGAACAGGTGAGGGGCACATTTTCAGTAAAACTGGTTCAGTTTTTTTTCAGTCAGCTTAGAGTTTTACATGATGATAGCAATATTTCTATTTCTTCTTGCTCACTGGGATAAATGTGAATTGACAAAACTTTACAGAAGGAAATGTAGCCTCAGTGGCTAAGAATGTCTGAGGTTAAGGCCCCTGGTATTTTTAAAAGCCATGGAATTATTTTACTTTGAGCTCTTCTATCTCAAACTTTAAGTCAATGTGATTTCTCTTACACTGAAGCAGCAGAGCTATCTTGGAGAAAATGACATGAAGCCGTGCTAGTCATCTCTTAGGCCACCCACAAAGTGGGAAAGATGTAATGCTAGTAGATGGGCTGGCCTGAGACTCATAGATTCAGAGGAGGAGCTTTATCAAGCACCAGTGGTGAATCATTAAAAGCAATCAGGCAACTGAAATAGCCAGAGGCACGTAATCTTCACTGCATTACAGAATTTTAATTAGGAGAGCTTTTACCATCCTTTTCCCCCTTCTGAATGAAGATTGTTAGCTGGTTAGTCTCAGAAGAGAATACAGTAAACACAGAATTTGTGGAAATGAGCTCGGAATGCCTGCGTTAGTGAAAGAAGAATATTAATAAAGCCATTATTTAATTAATCTCTTGAAATTAAACATGGCAGCTCATGTGTATTATCCGTGAGTATCCCTGCAGTATTTATTGTTTATCTTAACAATCTTTGGCAACATAAGTTGTTTCTAAAATCCATTGACAATACCAATCAACCAGTGGAAGTTAATTAACAGAAGGATTCTCATAGTCCATTCAGAACATGTTTATCACAGGCAAGACAGCCCCATGCAGAGACAGCCAGTCTTGAGGAGGTCAGGTGCTGGGCTCCAGAATTGGAAGTGGTACAGCCATGGTGGCTCAGGTGTGAGCTCTTCTAAAGCAGTTTTGCAGAACCAGACCTCTGTATGGTACTCAACTGTGGCACATTTAACTGTTTGAGACAATAGCATCTCAGACATTGCTGCTGTGCATCCTATTGTGTGGTACAGCCGTATCCACAGCCACTGACTCTGGTGCTTACTTTCTTGCAGACATTTATCTTGACTGATCATTGTCCATCTGATTTCACATTGGTTGTGAAACAACATTGCAACACTGTTGACTTTTAGTCATCCTTGACCTAGACAAACTCAAAAAAAAGATCAAGTCTTTTTCTTACTATGAGGTTTACATATGTGGGCTCTTCTATAGAAGGTCTCAAGGAATTTATTGTGGGGAGCAAGGAAAGGAAAAAATGTTAACATGTCTACAAACACTGAAAGATTTTGCTAAACAACAATCTTGTGTTCTCCAGCTCAACAACTTCACAGAAAAAAATCCTTGCATTTCAAAGAAAGGTCATCAAATTTGAAACGAAAATAGCATTTCAGAAGTGCTATCCAGGTGAGGTTTACACTTCTACCTACTTATGGTGCAAACCACAATACATTGCTAAGGGCAAAACCTGAGCTCATATTCTGGTTTGTGAAACAAATGTGGATCTACTGCAACTCCAGTGATGCCTGTGAAGCCCACTCAATCTTCAGTAAGGATAATTATGTGCAAAACTGTCTGGTTTTCATCACATATTGTGTGATACTGCAGTACACATGGCAATTAAGAATCAGTGATACTTTCCATAATGCCCACTGTTGTCGAACTGTGCTCCATCCTCCAAAGGGGTAAATTTCTCCTGAATTATGTTTGCCTCCAACTACTGATTCCAGTGAGAGTGACTACAGTAGCCATAATCCAGGGAATATTTGCCACACATATTGGGGTGAAAACATCACATCAGTAGTGCAAGAAGTAGTCACAGCAAAGAGAAAATATTTCTTCTCTTGATTTAAGCCTCCTACCTCCTAAGCCTGCTGACATTTGGGAGGGTGTGCAGGGAATGTGAGGCCTGGAATAAGAATTACATTGTTAAGAGCTTTTATGGGAAGGATTCTGGCTTCTCCAGAAGAAAATGCAACATAAAGTAATGTAAACCAACTCTGACCCTCGTATGCCCTCATCCTCCAGTAAGTTAAGTAGTAAATGGACCACTTAAAATTTCATTCTTCCTGGCAGTCTGTCTTTATTGCTTAATATAGTTTTGGTGGGCTTGAACCTTTAATCTTGCTCATTGTTCACATTGTTCTTTTCTTTTAAGAATTCTTTCTAAAAAATTATGAGTATAAGCTTTTAAGATTTTTGCATTCTTCTTTTCTTTGTCACTTCTTTTATTCCTCATAAAGATGAGAATCCAAAGGCAGTAAAAATGGCCACAGAACCCCCTGCTATCTTAATTATAGCTTGAAACTATCTACTAAAGTAAGGCTTACATTCTAACATAATCATGCCTGCCAGGCAGAAACTGGGCAGCTCTCCTTTTCACCTTGCTTTCCTTAAATGAGCCCAAAAACCCCCCTTTATCAATCTGAGAACCCACAAGTAGCAGTTTTTGTTCCTTTTGCCTGTAAGAGGGAACACTTACATGCTGTCTGGGAATCAGTGTTAAACAGATGAATGTAGATTTGTAGCTGATACTGCTGTTGTATTGAAAAAAGATGAAAGAGAAGATGGATGGCATGTAAGGAAAGGTAAGAGACAGCAAAGTCCATGCACTCAGTCCATTGGTAAAGAAGGAAATTATGAGAATAAAATTTTTTGTAGTCACACACAATCTTCTTTTAAAAAATTGTTATATGGGATTCTGTGGTGATTAAATACTTGATCATCCAACTGAGAAGAACAGAGTTCTCTTACAAAAGATCAGATATTTACTAGCACTGTAATCTGCATCATACATAACACACACTACACTGCTGAATGAAAATCTCTTCTCATGAAAGGGTAGTTGCAGCTCAGCACTGTTGGGAAAAGTGACCTCATTGTGTCAAATGTGATTATTTGAATCCCTGGGATACACACTGAGGTCCTTACTTACTTTATACTCAAACAGGCATAATCTTGGAGCTGGCAGGAGTTTTTGCCAGGTGAGAAGTGTAACCACAAGGTGTGACAGTGGCATTTGTAGGCACCAAACACTTTTTCCAGCTGAGGATTTAAGAAGAACTGTTGCCTCCTACAGTTATAGTAGAAAACACTGCTGGTTCTTCACACAGGTCTGTTTTGGGCCAGGAGTTCTGCTCCCATGGTACCAAATGAGGCTATACTATTCCAGGTAGAAAACCAGTGGCTTTTCGTTAATGTTTGGTGGGGAACAAGAACCCATTCTTGCAGAACTGCTACTAAAACTGATTCCATTTACTAACCTACATGACACAGAAGAGGTGAAGAGAGGATTCCTGCTCCAGAAGGGGCTGTAGCTGCAAAAATTCTCCAACCATCTCTACTCTGGCAACCAGTTAAATGTGTAACACCTTCATTTTGGGACAAAGCTTTCCATATTATATAGGAAGAGTAAAACTCAACATTGATGAACAAGTGATTGAACCTGCTATTTTATATGACAAGTTATACCAGTTTGGAAGAACCCATGATGCAGATTTACACTGATCTGCAAAGGTGCCAGTCTCTTTGGAACCTGCTTTAGGGTCATTGTCTGGGATTAGAGCAGCATCTCCAAGCTGTATGGTTCCTCAACTTTCTAACATATGTGATCTTGAAAGTAAATACAGATTGGAAAAATGTGTCTGGCACATGTGCATACTCCAGAAATAAAACAGTGGTGTAATCTTACTCTTCTTAGTCTTAGATGAACATATTACAACACAATTACCCTGTTCATGCAGGGAGCTGGTAGTAATGAACAAATCCACCAATTTAGAATGAAGTTACTGGATGTTCAACCTTCCTGAAAAAGTCTTGCTTACCCTCAGTGCTTTCAGGAAGCACTCTAAGTGTCATGTATTATGGTTATTCTTTGAAAAGTGTTTCATTTTAGAAATTTACACCCTGCCTTTTTTACTGGGCTTGCCATGTTGCTGTTACAAGTGCAAACAGCACTAACCTATCCAGTTTAGGTGTTAGCACATCTCTGCTCACTGTAAGCAAATGGTAGTTGCGTGCTCCATTGCCCAAATGTAAAGGACATTTTCCTAACTACCTCATCTGGAGCAGAAGTAAGGGAACAGAGAAAGAGCCATGGACTCTCCTGATAGAGCTAAAAGTTCTAAACACTTTGTACAGCAGTTAAAGTGAAAAGGGAATTTATTGTGGGTTATTGTAAAGTTAGTTACACTCATGTCAAAGGGCTAAAAGGCTGACAGGATATAGCATATTACTTTTTTTAGCCTATAAGTCTTAAGTATGTAAATAAATCTAAATAAACATGGGCAAACCATAATCAGGTATTTAAAAAACAAGTTTTAAATAATAATAATTTAGTTGCTTAACTAAGGACTTAGGGAACTTCCCGGTTCAGCCTGTGTGTTTTATGCATTTCTTAGCACTGTGTATACTTGGCAGCACCCCATAATTTTACAAAAATGCAGGCAATAATTCATGGTGATCAAGCTGTGTTTATTTCCCATGAGCAAGTTTTGTTTCTTTTCCCCCTGGCTAAAATGAATGCAGGGCTCTAAGACTTCTAACAAGTGCTACCAACTTTCACCTAGAAAGGAGGCCTCTGTCAGGGAGAGCAACTCATTCAGAGATCAGCAGACAAACATAAAATCTCGAGGCTAACTGAATCTGAGTCAGAAGTAGTGCCTAGGTTCACAAAGAAAGTTAAACAGAGCAGAAAGGGGCCAATTACCTTTTCAGAACTTGACGGGTCAGGCCAGGGCATTTTCTGGGCATGCACCAAGGTCCACCCTCCCCTGTCACCCCTTGGCAGAGTCTGGGACTGCTGGTTGCTGACTGTCTGCAGGCAGGAATGTCCTTGGTAAGCTCCGAAACCCTTACATAGAACCTGACTATATAAATATACTGCAAAAGCAGGATCTGGACTACAAATAGCAAACTGCTGCTCTCAGGCTTTCTTTCTTTTACCACATTGCTGGCTGGAGCTCAGATGGCATGAGTCATCTCACTGACCTTACGTGTTTTCATCTCGTTTTAAATCTCAGTGCCCACATCTAGCTTCATGTAGGCTCTAGCTCCATACAATCTCCATAGAGTCCTTATGGTAGATGGACAAAAACCAAAATGTACAAGCTGTGACTCAGCTGAGCTATTTCAAAAGTCTGTGTTCAGGTGAGATGAACTGTTCCTTGAAAACACTTACTCCCATTTCCTGACTTTAGAGGGAATCCACATAAGATGTCAGCTCTGAACGCCTTCTGATACAGTGCCTTGGCTCCAGTTTCTGCATCTCCCACTGCATAAACACGGGCTTGAGCAGGCTTGGACAGAGAGGGTGACCAGATTTGGACTTTGCTTTTCCAGAGGACTTGAGGCGTTTGCTCAAGTCCATGTTTTATGATATGTTTCTGGGCAAACAACACGGAGAGCAAGTGATGAGAAAACTGGACCAGACCCTTTATTAATTGATTGACTTATATCTGCGAGATCTATGAGATGAAATTTTTGCTCTGTGCCATAAAAGTGGTCTCTTTTGCAGTGTAGCTGAAAGCAAATGATAAGAGCAAGAAGAAAGCATCCTTTGGAGGGCAAATGTGATATAAAATGGCCACTGTTGCAAAAGTATCTCAGAGGCATTGAAACGCTCTGTAATCCCAGTGGGGCAGAGCCTCAGGCAACTGTCAGGACATTCAAGAAAAGGTGACTCACTTCAGTAGGGAAGAACGAGTGCTGGTCACCCATAAAGTGGTAAAGCAGAACTCAAAGCTGAAACCATTAGTGGCTGTGCCATCACTCTCTTGGGTGGCCTGAGGCAAGTCCAGCCCTTTGTGCCCCTGCCCCTTTGTTCTGAAAAGGAAGATGACCCCTCCTTTGGGAATCACTGACAAGTCTGTTGATTTTGTATGACATTATAGCTCATTTGCTCCTAGCTGGCTGACTGAACTAGATGCAACAAATTGGATATTGTCACCACATGGTCTGAAGTTCTGTCACTCAGCTTCTTCATTACAAAAAAGTGGGACCATCAGAATAAATGAAGGGATTACACTCAGGTCTCTAGCCAAAACTCAGAGACAGATTTTGGCTTTCGTGTCTCTCTGTAAATGCACAAGTATTTTTACTAGCAGTTCGGAAGTAAAGGGAACAGAATCAGTTGACAGGCTCCTGCTGATCTGAATCTGTTTCAGAATCAAAATAAGAGAACCTGTGGAAATCATAATCTTAACCATTTCCAAAGATTCCAAGTAGTTTGAATTGAGCCTGCAAATCAAAAAGACAGAAAAAGAAAACACTTTTCTCTGAACATAATTACAGAAAAACAAACTGATCATTGTTTCTTTGTTGCCTTTTTTTTTTTTTTTTTTTTTTTTAGGTGTCCTTACTGTATTCATTAATTGACAGAGAGATGCAACGAAGTACCAGACCTACGTTTCTAACAGCAATTCTGGTACAAAGTCCTGGTTGGGACATACCTTGGGAGGGAGGTTATTTTCCCCCATTTCTCTATACAGAAGCGCCGCAGGCCGTTGCTCCCTCGGAGAGCGGCAAAACCCTCATACGGCACACTCGACGTTCCCGTGACGAACTGCAACAGTCGCAGCCTCTGCTCGTTGTTAAACCTCTCCACAGCTGCCCAGAACCACCGTATCACTATGTGTCCGTCATGGTAGCCTACATCAAGCAAGAAAAATAAAAATCACTCCCTCCTAACTGAGAAGAGCAACACTGAAAAATGTTCCCATTAGCATGGGGCAGTAGATATCCTACTGGAAAGATCCTGGCGTGACAATGTCTTGCTCTTCATGAGCTTCCCAGCTTCTATTTTGTCCTGGCTGTGGATACTATAATATCACTAACTCACTTTGGACCCTGAAACTCAAATACCCACTTGAGATTCACTGGTCTCTCACAAATCTCTTGGCAAGAACTGGGGTTACATGCATGCGATATTAAAGACCAACAGCAATATGCCACACAGTGTGAGTCTTAATAAGCTAACCATTTCTGGTTCCCAAGTAAATTCTCTTTTGGATTGGAACAGTGGTCGACATATGGAGAGGAGTTTGCTGCCACAAGCCCTTCCCTGGCAAGCTTCCCACCTGAGGGGCTCCGAGCCTTGGTTTGTGCCAGTGAGAGCCAACATATACCAGGCTGAATCTGTTTCGAGAGTTAAATAAAAAAATGTAGCAGGAGAATAACACTGGCGAGCAGCTGTGCTTGTGGTAAGCTGCATATTTCAAGGTAACCCAAAGGCTGGGCAGTGACCAGCAAAGACTGAAACCTTGTGTTTCAGGGGAGGATATGTGAACCTCAGGAACTTTCCACTTGTGGTACAGAACTGGTGGATTTCACATTTTTCCATCATCCAAGACAGTCTGGATAAATCATTCTTTAAAGCAAAACTACACCAAGCAGCAGACAAGGGAAAAAAATCCAAGTTGACACAGTTTAGGCTAAGGGGACAGTTAAGCAAGATCTGTAAGTTGTTGAAATGTAATTGGGAACTGTCAAATTCAGCTCCTGATTTTAGCTCCCTGCTGAAGCCAGGAGGACTTGTGGAGCTACTTTCTGTGAGGCTTAGAGTTCAGTCACAGTCATCTTAGATGACTTGTAACTTTTAGATCTAATTGTGCAAATCCTTTTCAGTCCTTAATGGTCAAAACTCCTTCTAACTCTGCAGGAATTGAATAGATAAAATCTGGATAGAAATAGCAGAAGCAATTTCAGTATTATAACACCACAACACCTGAGATCTTTATATTTTAATTTTAAAACCCCCAAACCCCCGATTTTTTTTTTTTTTTTTTTTTTTTTCAGGAGTTATTCTTCACAATAACTTCCTGGACAAAATAGGGCATTTTCCCTCAGAAAATACAGAAAGAAAAGATGGAGCATGACTTCCATGTTTTAAACTGAAACAGTCAAGATAGTAGCAAACATGAGCAGGCAGTTTACCTCCACGATATTCTGTGTTGTTCCGCCAGTCATTGAGATCTATTTCTGCAGTGCCAGCTATAACTAGCTCCAGTTCTCTGGCGTCAAAAACAGAGACAAGCCTGGAGTCTACAACCTGGAACAAAAAACACTTGTAAGCACAGTTCAGACCAGAAATGAAGCAAAGTCTTATAAACCTATGGTTCTGGCCAGCCCTTTATCCTGACAAAGTTTGAATGTTTGCATTCACATGTTTGTGTATGATAAGGGAGGGGCAAGAATAGGTGACTACATGGGTTGGTCAGCAAAGCCACAGGTTTTCACCTAGTTCTTGTAACAGCTCTGCCAGAAAGATGTCCTCAGATCCAGGTCTTCAGCAAAGATAAACTGCAAAATCCAGGGACAGCAATGGAGTAGTATCCAGGAATACCACCAGCAAGCTTGGACTGCACCCATGGACTGACTTTACTGGAACAAATCCCTGAAGACACAGTGTGTTTCATCAGATTCTCATCAAAGTGTACAAATCTTCACAATTTTTCTTTGTCAGGGACCCCTAATCCTAACCCAAAATCACAACATGGTAGAAAAAAATTTGCTAGTGCCTACTTCTCTCAATGTGTGAATGGAAAGCAGTGTTGTACTTAACTCTTGATCACAAGTAATAGAAATTATTCAATTCAGAAGACACATTTCTTTCCTTTCTCCTTTAACACTAAACACACTATATCCGAGGTCTCTGTCTGTAGAGATTCAAGAACTCCAATTCCTTGCTGTTTGTGTCTGTTTAGTAGTTCTCTAGGGTACCAATGAAGCATTTAACCAGGGTGCTACTCATTCAGATGCCTGTGGAAGCATCACTTTCCTACTTACTTCGTAGAAGCCACGGACCAGGGCCTCTGTTTGCTGGACCACTCCTCGTTCCACTCGCCACTTTACCATTCTCTCGATGTACTCCTTTTTGTTCTTTTCTGTCACCGCTGTGTTTGCCCCTCCAGATTTCAACTCTCTCTCTGTCACCTGAACAAAGATAAACAGTGGTGTAGCATTGTATGGATCATGTTGTGTTTCAAACACGAGATCATCCAAGCAACAGTACAGGAAACAACAGGATGGAGAGGCAATCACACTACTGGAATAGAAGACGGCTTTGCCTACTGGAAGGGAGACTTGTTGTCACTTAGGCAACAAGTGTTATCCTTCCCCAAGTGCTAGTAAAAGTTTACTCAGAAATGCAAACAGCTAAAGAAAGTATCATAAAATGAATACTCCCAATACACTACCTAAAACAAGACCTGTACAGCAGCCTTGCACAGATAGTCACTGTGGGAGTCAGAGTTTTGTATCAGCCATCCAAACCTGAGAAGAGTTTGTACTGTAAATAACATTTTCTTATTTTAAGCAAGAGCTGCAGAACTTCTTTGCATTTTAATAGTTAATTTAGTTGGCTTGGGTTACTAAGGCTTGAGATTGAGAAGTGATTTAAGGAATCAGTCTGGATCCTACCCAGCAAGCACATACTCCTCCTCCCATGTGGCAGAAAATTGTATTTGTCTTTCAATTTTTTTCACATTCAATTCAGTTGATTTAAAAGGAAGAATATGTTGCTCTTCTCTTCAGTTTTCTGCTGCTGTAACAATGATGTTTACCACAGACAGTAAATGAACTGTATGAATACATATTCATTACTAGTACGATTTATATTATTATCTATTTATTAGCCCAGCAGACAACACACAGCATAGGCAGTATTTAGGTCACCTTACTTTAGGGACCTATTGCAATATTATGAATTAAGAAATATTGACTGAGTCATCTAATCAGTAGCTTTGTTGAGAAACAGCAGGAACAAGTAAAGCTGGATGGAAGGAGTTAGGAATTCTTAGCTGGTTCAGGTTAAATTCCCAAACACAAATCATTGCATCACCATTATACAAGCAATGCTGCATTGTCCAGAAAGCAAGGCTCTGGCCCAGCTACCATGACGTATTCTTCAAGGCTGTGAGGCATTAATGTATATCTGCCAAACCAAAGACTAAATGTTGTCTAGCTTTAAGCATGACCATAAGTCCAGATGTTCAAAGTCTCCTGCAAAACTTCCCACAAACACCTAGAAAACTATTGGTTTTTTCAACTTTTTGTTATCTGTGTACATTAAAATACTATTAATTATCTATGACCAGAGGCTAGCAATCAAGAGCAATGTGTCCCTGTTCTGGAGTTTTTGTTCTTAGGGGCATTAACTGCAGGTGTGAGCTACAATTGAGAATCAGGTTTCAGAGTAGCAAGGAGGCATTTCAACTAATGTAGTTCATTCCTTTTACCTGATGGGAACAATTGCCAGGGCTCAGAGACAGGTTGTATCCAAAAAGAGAGCCTGGAAGAAAACTTTCTACTGGGTAAAAGCATGAGAAAGTACTTTGGGTCACAAGCAACTGTCTTTTAAGTGAAATTCTCAAATTGTCATTCAGCCCCCACCAGTAAAAATGTGTAGTGCTTGATTTGACACTGTATCTCTGCTGTTACAGGAGTGCTCTGGGTTCCAGTACACAAGAAGGCTGGAAGTGACATGGAGTAAATTCTCCTTAAGAAAGTAACAAGACAGAGGATTCGGCCTGAAAGCCTAAGAAGTTCCATACACATCAGAGAAGAAACAAGAAAATATGAAAGCAGCAGTGACTGGTACATGAAAAAGCCATTGTGGAAGCAGGACAAAAGGGCTGTAACCATCTACTATACAGCTTCTCAAGGAGACCATATATTTCTTGTTTTCCTTACCCAGCCCTTGAAATCCATCTTCCCAAATATTAGCAGAGCTCCCACTGTGATCTACACTTGCACGTGCACCAAGCAAAGCAATGCTCAGATGGCATTTAAGTGGTTAGATACTCTTGGCATGGAAGAATTTCCAACTAGGATCCATCTGTGAGCATAAAATGTGACTGCAATTTCTTTGTTATTTTGCTGTCAGCACTTAGTAAATTTCAAGAGGGAAATCTTACTTTCACTTAGGACACTTGGATTCTGATAGTTGTAATTCACCGTGAGAACCAATCTTTCCCCCCATCATTAGTTCTAGCAAGTTTAGTGTCCAGTACGTAGGAAATAAAGCACTAGAAAACAGCATCAAAATCTAGCTTTTAGTATTCTTTTGCATTTATACCACAGTATCTACAACAGATTGTGATTTTTCCTATTCTCTTTGGAGCCATCTCTTATCTTTCACAACAGACTCCTATGTAACTGTTTCCTCTTTCCTTTGAGGAGAGTATAACAAGTAATTAGTGTGCCAAATGTTACCTTCAGATGCATCAGGGTAACTCAGTTTTTATTTAACTTTGTAGTCTTCCCTTGTAAATACAAACTTGTCTCATCTGCCTTTGTGAATATGTCTATGTGTTTCTGTCTGTCTTTGTGTATTAGTCTCATATAGCCATACCTTCCAGGGAAACCACTGTACTGTGAATTCAATGTCATGCAAGCTCTCAGTTCCTAGTCCGTGAAAAACTCCTGCATTTGAGTCTGTGGAAAAACAGTGTTCTTCTTCCTACAGATGCTTCCTGCTTTAATTCTTCTGCTCCATCCTTTTCATCTACCCTTAACTCTGCTCATCCTCTGTTACCTTTTGCTATACTCAGGCTAAATTCAGTTTTTAATATACTCCCTGAAGCCTCGCTTGCTTTCTGTTACTTTAACGCTCATAGCTGAGCAGGGCTGGAATTCCTCCCCTCAGAAACTTGTCAAACTCTTGCCTAGCTCACAGAACTACGCTAGCTTTGTGCAAACCCTCCAGGAAAATGAACTGTCAAGTGGTGAGAGCCATTCTCTGGATATTCTTGTGGGCACACAGTTTGTGGTGATTGGGAATGGGGCTGCAGCCGAGCCTCATCCCTAATGGACTACAACAGTGTAGGACCTGTGGACAGTATTGAAGGCAAAGAAACATGGAATGCTGATGTGTATTGATCAATCACAAAAGAGCAGTGAGGGCACACAGGTGTGATGCATGTAAGATAAAGGGTATAAAAGATCATATTCCATCGATTTCTCTGCTCCTTTTGACACTGTTTTATCTGTTCCTTACAAGGTATCTCCATTCCCTGAGCTTCTGCAGTGCTTGGTAAGCTTGATTCTTCAGCCTCTCTAGTTTTCAGTATCTCCCTGGAGATCCTTAATCATGGTCTGAATATTGTTTTGATTCCCTTCAAGGCTTCCCAGAGACAGTTATGATCCAGCATGGTTTGCAACACCAAAGAGCACCAGGGCTTCAGTGCAACCCAAAGAATCCCACAGGAGACATTTATTCTGGTTGCCAGACTGCACTTAAGCCATTGTTGCACTTTCCCTAAGGCTGTAGTGATCAGCCAGGTTACAGAGAACTGTCTGACTAAGGTAGAGCTGAGCTGCAGAAAGCACAATAAATGGATGTACATACCAAGTTGTTAAGAAGGTGCAAGGTAAGTAAGAGACACAGAATCTAACAGGGAGATATTAGACAAAATAATGGTAAGGATTGCCAGGTCCTACAGCACCTGTCAAATGTTTTTTATCCCTCCTAACCCTCTACCCTTTAAGTCACATCAGCTTTAAGTTACATTTCTTGCATTCACCAAATGCCACATCTGTGTGAACTACACCCTGGAGAGAAGAGCTGCACTCCAGAGAATTCCTTGTGCTCATCAGTGTGTGGCTCAACAGGCCCGTAGGGGGGCTGGTATTTTATATTATACAGCCTAAGAATAAACATCTGCCTTGGAACAGGTGGCTTGAAAGAAACAGAAGGTAGGAGAAGAAAATGTTATTGAAAGGCTAAAAGATCTGTTCTGACAGAAAGATGTTCATCACGCTCAACTTTGTCAGCTTCAAATTTGCTTTTCAGATGTTTTGCATAGCTATGCTCACCTGTCCAAACACCTCCTCGTTCACTGTGAAGGTTAGGTCCAGGATATCTGTGATATTGTTATCCTTCATCCACTGCAAGCTCTGATGGAACTCTTCATCCAGGTACTCTAAGTCGCTTAAATCACACGGCCTGATTGCAAGACGAAAAAATATATGATCCTGTGACTACTGTCAGGATGATTTCCTACTAAGTGTGTCAACAAATTTACTAAAGATCCAATATAAAACTGAAGTTCATTTAGTTTTGTTAACATCAAAGACTGTTTCACAGACCCTTTTGAAGCAGTTCTGCAACTGTTTGCTTTGCATAGCTGGGCAAAAGGCCAAATTTGTTGGCTGCCTGCATTATTTGCTGTCAAAAGACCTGGGACTTAATTTTACATGGATCTTCAGGATGCCCTGCACTTCAAAGCACATGTGTCCCTTCAGCCCCACCATACTGTGCCTGGCTGCTTCCATTATCTATCATCTTTTAGATGATAGATAATGCTTCCATTATCTATTATCTATAATCTGCCAGGTAAGCACACAGGTCCGACACAGGGCAGACCAGGCAGCCTAAATTTCTGCTAATAAGGAGCCATCCCTGTCTGCTAAAAGGACAGATTTGCTATGAGCAGCCTGGTTTCTAATTCCCTAAAGTGGCAATAAGCATGCAGGGAGAACCCTAGGTTTTGGCCTAGTTTCAGACTAGATCAGGTACAATATAGATATGAGTTTTTGTACCTCAGCAAAAATAATAGTTTTAAAAACCCAACAAAGAATAACATGATAAAGAACTTAAAGGACTGTTAAGACAGGTATCTTTGCTGACTTGGAATAATCTTAATTGATGAACTGTTTAAGCTAAGCTTTATTCTGCTCTTTAGCATTTAATAGTAGTCTTGAGTTAATATTTATGGTTTTTTTTATTGTTGCAAAAACTTTGTGTACCTTGTTTTACTTGAGTCTGTTAATTAAAGGGGGACTGATTGTCAATCCAAATTAACTTTATAAACTTCAAATTGAAAATAACATATTTTTGGTACCTTACCCTTACTAAAATAAAAGACAGAAGAAGACAAAAAAAGCCATTCCCTGGTTATATCTACATGAATATTCTTAATTAACCCAAGTTATGTTTCAGAGTGAAAAGCTACTCCACCAGTGAGGCACGACAAATTATGTATTTTTGCTTAATATAACCCCTGTCCTTTTTTCGTTATTATTTTGTTTCATTCCATCAAGCATGTTCTTCAGTCTTCCACCTGGTTGAATCTTCATAACTTTTCACCAGTAGTAGACTCTGGAGTTATGTGTCAGAACTTTCTGATATGTGTTTCTAAATGTCATACTTATTTATTTTTGTCAACATAATATTTATGAATGGCAAATTCTTGGAGAAAGCAAAGAAAAATTAAGATGTGTTCATTTTCTATTGCAGACAAACAAACCAACAACAGAAAGAATGTGAAGGTCAGTGCGCTCAAAGTGACTCCCTGAGGGTGTGTGCAGTCTCTGCAGGACTCCCTGTGGGATTGCTGCTTGTGCATGGTTGCATGGTTGTACTCACAGCCTTAGCAGTGCTTTGTAGAACGGCCTTGTGAAGAAAGCATCCAGAAGGTACTGATGAATGAGAGCAAGGCCAAGAATACGACCACTGAACCTGAACCTGTGAAATAAAAATGCAGAGTTAATGAAGTGTAACTCAAGATTTCCAGTATAGAAACTTGCACAGGTAGCACCTGGGGGTTTTTGGTTTGCTTGTTTGTTTCTGAATTAGTTTTTCACATTTATTCCCTGATTTTTTTTTTTTTTTCCTGAGCAGATACTTAATGCCACTCCTCCCATGTCTGATCAATGGATTGCCTTGATGCACCTCCTACTGTACCCATACCTGCAGCTGGCATGCTATGTGCTCTCCTGTGCCACAGCAATGAACACTCACTTTCTGTGATCTCTTGTTCAATGTTCTGATATAGACTGACTACATCCAACACAGTATTTGGCCACGGAAATACCGTAATGCTCCACCTCAGCAGAAAAAATGCTATCTCAAAAGAGCTGCAAAGGATGTTTGGAGACTTAGTACATCCAGTTTCTGACTAGCTACAACCCTGTCGAGGTGGGGCTTTAAAGTACTTTAAAGGGTAGCGACTTGATAGGGGAAAAATGAAGTTGAAATAAGCTAACTGTTGTCACCAAGGACACATTAAAATCAGCATCTAAAGCTCAGGCACACTGTTCCACTTTCTTAATTTTGCTGCTCAGCTCTTTTCAGTATTCACACACTCCTGTGTTCGTTCCTAAGAACAACCACCCCCAGTCCCAGTACAAGTACACTCAAATAGTACAAGTACACTCAAATAGTGCCCTGCCCATTATAATCTGTGACTTGTGATGATAAACTGCTAAATTTTTCTTCCTATGATTTCTTCTATGACTTACTCTATATTTTTTCATCAAATCTGCTTTTAAATCAATAATCTCAGACAGAAAACCACAAAACTGGTGTGAGTCCAGGCGAGTTTGGTTTTTGTAAGAACAAACCCAACAGCCATTCAAAACTTGTTTATATGTAAGAAAGGAAAAAATCCATCACCCCAAATCTGAGCACTCCAAGTCTGAGCTGACTGGTAACACAGAAAAGTTTTATTGCACAAAAAATGAGAAACATATCAAAGAGTGTAGAAACCATTCCTTCCACTTACAGGAATCAGTGCAAAGACCTCTCCTGCACATGAATGAAACACGAGTCTGATTGTAATAACGGTGGCAAAGAATATCTGTTCAATCAACTCTGTGCTCATGGGACAGAACAACAAGTGCTTAGTATGTCAAACGGGGCACAAAAGAGCCTGCTGTGGGCCCAACTAGCATTTACACCACCACAGGAGCTGCCTCCAGGTCCCCTGAATCTGAGAAAGGTGCTTATGATATGCAGCTGAGCGGCCACAGAAGAATGATTATATTACCCCCTTACAGCTGTTTCCACAACAGCAACAAAAGGCAGCTGTTGGGTCTAGTTAGGGCTTGCTTCACTTCACTTGTGCTCCAGTGCAGTGCTTCCAGCAAAAGGCAAGGAAACGAGGGGGAGCTGATACAATGAAAGCACAGTGGAAGCCAGACAGCTCAAATCCCAGAAATGCTGAGCCTGTAATCCATCAGTTTTATAGCACCTTTAGGATCCATAATCAAGTCCGTTTGTCCTAAACAACGCATGTCAGCTTTTCTGGTTTTGTTCTTCACCCCCATCCATCCCCGTGCGTTTTGAAAGCAAGCACTGAATGAAAATGCTGGGGCTGTTCCTTACCACAGTGCTCACCCCACAGCTACTCAACTGTAGGGGACTGGGCAGGCAGGAGCCACCCGGAATAAAGCTGAAAGTGAACTGCCAGGAATTAGGAGATTTGGGAATGTGGCTTCTTCTAAGAAACTGCTTGAATGCTTGAACAGGGTCCCTCTTCTCCTTGCTGCTTGTTTCGCTTCAGCATGGCTTTGAGGGCATTCCTGCAAAGTGCACCTACACCAAGGTGTTTACAGCTAGGGCACACATTACATTGCTAGGGCCATTAATGGAGAGTCTGATTTGAATCAGTGCCTCGTGGCAGAACTGTATCAAACCATCCCAAAGCCATGGGCAGCATTTCTGTGTGGAAGGTCCAAGCCTGGCGCACCAGCCTAAGAACACGTGGAATAAGTGAGACGAAATTAGCAAAATACTGCCATTGCTGGTGCCTATCAATACAATGGATTAAAAAGCTGTGTAGACCACATTCCCTGGCAGCTCTGTATCTCCCCAGAAAAACACGGTGCTGTGTGGCCAAGACACATCAGCTCTCCAGCTCAGAGACCCTTCTGCCCCTGCACAGAGCTTTGGTATCTCGGCAGAAACTTGCTATACTTCACTCTCTTCTGAAGAATGGTGTAGCAGAAGATTCTCTGGCCCCTTGTCCATGCTGGACAGGGCCTGAGACCAGACATAACACTTCTGTGGTCCAGCACTGAGAAACATCGACCATGGTAAGCCAGCAGATACCTGTCAACAGGAGGCATTTGCTGCCTTTCTCAGAGAACAAATATACAGTTTAGCTGTGTGGCTCCATTCAGTTCATCAAGCTGCCACTGCACTCAGACAAGCATAGCAGTCCCACTTAAAATGTTTCAAAACTTACAAAAAAGCAAGAAGAAACAAATTGTTCTCCTTAAAAAAAGCCAGTTAAAACAAAGCCAGACTCTTGTGTTTATTTCTTCCTAAAATATTTAGAGCACTTAAGATTTAGAGGTGGGTAAAGCAGTCCTTTCAGAACAAAACAAGTTTTCTTGACAGAATAAGCAGCACAAAGGTAAATCCTGGCTCGAGGGCACATACCTTCCTTAAGCCTGAATTACATTTATCTTTCCAAGGAAGTGTAAAATACTTGTTTGGTTTCTTTCTAGCAGAAAAGCTAGTTTGGGAGAGGTAGGGAATGCAGGGTCTTGCTCTGGCCTTTTCTTTCAACACCCTTCCCTTTTGGAGACAATGACTGAGTCTGAGTAATGTGCTCCAGAGAGAGGGTAAATGCAGGAGGGAGTTAATGAACAGGAAATGGTGGAACGAGAGACAGAATTAATGAGCAGTGGAGCTGCCCTGGTTTGACTGCCTATTGACACTGTTCGTCCACTCAAAAAGGACATTGTGTGCACCTGCTTTCTGGCTTTTTACAACACTACTCTTTGACCAATTTGCAGAAATTTCCACTGTATCTAGCTCATTCCTTTCCTTCTGGAGGCTTCAGGTGCCCCTGAAGCAGCCACAACGGCCCATTGCAAAATAACAGGCTCACTCCCCTCGACGGGACTCCGTGAATACTTACTGCATATCTGTGTGCTCAGGGAGAGACAAATCCATATGCTGCAGCAGCAACGAGGCAATACATTTTCCTCCCACTGCAGCTGAGTCACAGGAGATTTAATGTACTCTGGTCCTTATCATACAGCACCAGAGCAAGGCAGGACCCACAATGATCCACAATTTGGTACAGGGCTCTCTCTTAACTGGTTCAATGAATGGAGCTCTACTTTATATGACAGTTTTTCCTTGGATTCAGATGGATAATGATGTACCTTGAAGAGATTGTAATCTGTGTGTACAGAGGAAGAACAGTCTTTATCATTCTATTGGGAATGCTGTGGGAACCATGCCTTGTGGGCTAAATTGGGTATGTTATAAGAAACTTCAAATCCTAAAAAGAGGAAGCACCTGATGAGATTAAAAAGATTGAAAATCTGCAAACCTTATATTGCTCAAATACATCAGCTGCATTTAAGTGTGCCCTTCTTGATGCAGTAGCTTGTGAAAAAAATATTCAAAGTAGGACTTGAGAGATATAAATATAGCATGGTTCACATCAAATTTGAAAATGTCACTTTCCCTTCACAAGACTTGCTTTCTGTAAGTGAAGTTTACACATTCTGTTACACCAGTTTTGAAACTCTTGACTGTTTAATCACACAGATGAACTTTTGGCCACCTGAAAGACAAGCTGAACAAATGAGGCTACACTGTGGTCCAGGGTTTCTGTCCTTGGCAGCTCTTCTGAGGAAGAATATTTGTCAGGTGGATCCACCTGGAGAGCCTATTAGTCCTTTCACAGTGGGAGAGACTGGAACTAATCTTGATCATTATTAGATACCAGAGACTCTAACAAGAGGAAAATATTTAGAAAGGCACAATCATGGAAAATACTTCACCTTGAACATGCATCTTATTAGACAACAGAGAATTCAGTCACAAAACAAAAATTTGTAGGAAATTGGGCATCATGTGTAGGAAATTGGGCAACAGTGTTAAAACTGCCATTGTTATGAAGACACTTATGAACAACCTGAAGGCAAGAAACTGCTGATTAAAGGAATTAAAAATCAATTCTTATACTCTAAAATTTTGTGATTTGCAATCTTTTATATGTGGGGACACAACATGCAGAGGAAAATGTACTGAGTCTATGATTTCTGAATTTTGGTGTTATCACCAGCTCTAGTACTTTATAAACAAAGAACTTCTTTTAATGCATGGAAGTGATAAGAATGCATATTTTGCAAAAAGAGTTGACCAGCTAGATGGTTACAACAACTCTGCCTGGGCTCATACATTAAGAATTTTAAACAATACTGGCAGTGTGTCAGGCATATGCTCCAGAGGTATGTGTCTAGATGTTGGCAGTACACATCCTTGTGTTGGCTCAGTGCAGGACGTGGCCAACATGAGCTACACCTACAGAGAAATGATCTAGCAGAAGATCAGGTCACCTCTACAGAACCTTGTCAGTGGATCAAATCCACACCTCTATCTATCAGCCTTCATTAACAAATGCCTTTCTTTAATTTGGTGTGCATATTTAACCCCTACTCACTCAAATGAAAGAACATTTGAAGGAACTAATGGGATGACATGAAGCATTCTTTTGTCAGGAAGGTTGAGCCAGGCAGGCTGGGACAGCTCACGTGTTCTCTTTATCTGACTTGCATCTGCAAAGTCTGCAGACTCCTCTTTGCCACTGTGTCATTTGGCCTCTTGGCAAATGTGCTCTGTGTGTCTGCAGGTTCACAGGTGGATGCTGTGGCATTCCAGCACCATGCCTCTTCTGTTCAGGAATCTGATGACCTCATGTGTCATTAATATGAAAGGAA